CCAAATGTTTCGGGGTTTTTTGATGTGTCCTACGGGAGAGTTACAATTCCAAGAATGCCCTTCGATTCCTGTGCCTGCAAAATCACGAAGACTCCTGGGGGTAGGAGCTCCGCCTCCGACGATCAAGTTAGTAAAGATATGGGAGGTAGAATGCACGTAATGTAGAAGTTACTTCTCACGTAATGGGAGAATTCTGCAATTAATATTGCTCGGGGTAAGTGTTTTTCTTTTTGAGGAGTATTCAATGTGAACCACAAATGTTCCAACCCCCATTAATGAGGGTCCTTCCACTATTTATAGTGGGGAAGGGATGGTTCCCCTTTTAGGGTTTAGAGGACACGTGTCAGCAGAGGATTGGAGCCCTGCTGACCAACGGCTGGATGCCACGTGTCACTAGGCCATTGGGCCACGTGTTTAGGGTATTTTTACCCCAAACAGACTCCATATATTTGTTATTCTATGTCTTTCATTACTTACTAGACCACTACTAGTCTAGACTCTAGTGCTCCATATAGCATTTTTAAATTTCAAATCGAACCCGTTTAATTATTTGAAACTGATCAACCTGAATGAGAACCAAATCAAAAATCGTTCTTTAGTCAATTCGAAATCAAACAAATCATTTGATGTTAAACCGTATATGAACCATAACCCTTTATGAACCAAATCGTTCAAACCCTACCTAAAATTGAATAGAATCGAATACAATTTAAATTGCTAATGACCCGTACTGTTCAAAGTCTTCAAACCAAAAACGTTTGAATCCACTAATCGTTTAAATCAAACTGCTTTCAAACCACAAATTGTTTAAACCGAATCATTTATAAACTGATCTGTTTTCAAACCATAAAATGCAAACCATTTAACAAATTCATTAACAAACCACAAACTAAACCGTTTACAATTTGTTAAAATTACGCACAAATGCACAATAATATACTTATATAGTTTTATATACAATAATTTTAATAATACAGTACAAAGTAACTTTTATCCTTAAAAAAAATACGGAGTAATTTTGTAAAATTACTCACAATTATATACTTGAGCAATTAGCCGATTGATGTTTTTTCTTTGTCAACCATATTTTATTTAAAGCGATTTAATTTGTTAGCCAATGTTTCACACATGTGAAAGTATTGTGAGTTATAAACTGGACTCACGTGAAACGGTCTCATGCAAAACCTTCTCTTCACACATATGCAACATATAATTTCTTACACTTATTGCATTTTCATAAAGCCCGTGAATGTTTTATTAGTATTCAATCCTTCTCTCTAATTATAAAATGCAATGTTATAGCAATATGCCCAACATCTTAAGAGTGCTTATTTAGTTAAATTATGCTTCGTATATATATATTAGACTTCGTATATATATTAGACATATCAAGGAATGTTGTTGAGGTAGCATCAATAATGTAATCTCTATCTATGTCACATGGAGCCTCACGGTTGTTTCTAATCAAAATATTGTAGTTAGTTCTAATAGATGATAATCAAACTAAAGCTATTAGGTAAGAGAATATCATCACATGGCTCTCCCTGATCCTTTTTTATTTTATTTTTTTTATTTTTTTTTTGGTAATTACCCTTATTAATCTAGGTTTGTGCTTTTCCATAAGCACATTTGTTTCGCCCTATTAACATCCCTATTCAGGCGCAAAATGTTGTTAAATGTTGATTTGTTGACTAGGAAACTGCCTAGGAGTACTCATACTTAGGGGTATTTGCGGTGCGGTTTAGTGCAGTTTGGATCATAAACCGCACCAAACCGCAAAAGTGTCGTTTGTAATTTTTTCAAACTGCACTTTTAAAAAAACCCGCACCAAACCGCACCGGTGCGGTGCGGTGCGGTTTGCGGTTTAACCGTATTTTATTAAAATTATAATTATTCTTTTAAAAACAAAACTTTTATTTTATTTTCTAATTATTAGTTTATAATTCAAATATTAAACTCTTTTAATTAATCTTTAATTAACTAATAGTTAAAGATTAGCTCATATAATTTAGTTCTATAATATAATTTTAATGAAAATATAGTATAAAAATCATAAACCGTATTAAAGTGCGGTTTGCGGTGCGGTTTGGTCTCAATATTTTTTGAAACCGCACCAAACCGCAAACCGCGGTTTGGTATTTTTAAAAACTGCACCGTAAATTTCAAACCGCGAAACGAACCAAACCGCAAATTTGCGGTTTGGTGCGGTCTAAACCGCACTCTGTACAGCCCTACTCATACTAACTTAAGTTGATGATATGCTTTCCCTGGCAGACTTGTTTTTTTTTTTTTTAAAGAGATGTTTCTTGCAAAGCTATAAGAGACAATTAAAGATTCTACGTAGTTTTCTTATTCTGAATGTTGGGTTTGCAAAAGAAACTGATTGACTAAGATAATTGTGAAATGACCCAAACAGCCAATCATTAAAGTTCATTTAGTAATCTAAGTTTTAAAGTTGGAAAATTGGATTTCTTAAAAGTTCTTGGCTGCATATTTAAACGAAATAGCCAATCATTAATATTCCACGAAAAATTTTATACTCGTACCAACTTTTGAATTTTTTAAACTCTCCAGAATGAATACAGATAATCTGATACACTTTATTGTGAGAGAATACATAGCATTTTATTTTTTTTTTATTTTTTGAAAATGACTGTTTTCATTATGAATCTCATCAAGCAGGCAAGAGATGTTAGTAAAGTACATAACACGTAGAGAGACTAGAGTGCAGGATTTGTACGCAATTCATCATGCATAATAAGCATATACATTACATAATAAACAGTTACATTACTTCATAAGCAGAGAATAGGGCATGCATGAACAGAACATATGATGCATCTTCACATGTTTAAACTCAAAAGTATTCTTCAGTCCTCCCCTTGAAGCCAATCTGCCCAAATGTAAGGCACAAGAACAGCCCCAGATGCCACAATACCATCCACAACCTATTCCGACCATTACATGTACACAGCGCGTAGAATATCAGTATTTACATTGATTAGCAAGACATTTACTCTGTAAAATTTTTAAATTTCCTTACACTTATCATAATCTACGGAACATATACCAAGTATAAAAATAATAATTAGCTGATCTTAGTAAAGATACTCACCAGAACTGAGAAGTAAGGGCAGGAGGGGTGGGAAAGTGAGACAACTCCTCCCCAATGCTTGAGAAGAAGAGACCTGTGAGGCTGTTTCCATTAATGGCCGGTACGCTTGATGGAGCCATCCATCCAATCAACCCAAACCCAATCACATTGAAGTCTGTCCTCAGCCAATTTCTTTCAAAGCTATATCATACAAATTAATTTTAGAACTTCGTATTACTTTTCTAGACAACACATATGTCACCAAGAAAACTATATTACATTATAGTATAAGGTAAGAATAGAGGCAAAGATAATGCTATCAATTTGTCAAATGTAAGAGTATTACAACTTATTGTTAAAAGGTTAACTAAATACTACTTCTATAATTCTATATGGTTACAATTTTCATTTATAATACCAATGGGGTCTTGGGTTAGCATCTAAAACAGAGGGTTTGTATAATAGGTCACAAAATCAAATCTCCCTGTCCACCTATCTATAATCTATATTATAATATTACCCTTGTGGTTCAACAAAAATAACAACAAAGCACCTTAGTCTTAAAACAATTTGTTTGAGATATGAGATATCGGAAAATATAACACATATTTTTAGATATCTCATACCTCTAACACAATTTGAGATCGACTAACCTGGAACCCTTGTGTTTGATTCACCCTAAATTTTATTTAATTTTTTTTTTCATTTACAATCACTTCTTTTTGTTTATTATACGCTACATGTAATCCATATTTATTTCACATGCATACTCTCTAGAGCAATAAAGAAATAACTAGCTAAGTCTGATCACATGTATGAATTTTCATCACTCTTACTATTTATCTCATTTGCAACAATCGATGATACGGAGTAATCCGTCTTTTAAGTGTATATAAAGCCACAAAGAAAAGTAATTGTCGATGAAATTCAAACCATGTCATATGGTAGTAGCCTAGTAGGACAATATCACCCCCCCCCCCCTAATAAAGATTCACAATTCAATGGGTCAAGGGATCTATTTATAAATAAAATGAGTATGAGTAAAGTGAAATAGTGTATCATGCATTCATGTCATAATTTGATGACAGAAATTCCCGAAAAGTAAAAAAATAAAACGTAAGGTGAGTATACAAGTTACCACGTAAATTTTCCTCCAGACGTAGCACAAGCTAGGCTGAGAGGGTTCCTTGCTGCTACTTTTGACTTCAAGAAGCCTGAAATAATATACGTATAGAAAAGAATGCGATTAGATTAGATTAGATCATACCCGAATTTGAGCTATTTATTTATATCCAAATGCTAATAATTTTACAAGCAATATATAATCATGTAAATAAACAGGATTACCTGAAGTTAAGCCAGTAGATTTAGAGGAAGAGCGAGAGAGAGTAGAGGTGCCCAAACCGATGACACTTGAACTGCCTGCAAAACTACAGTTGGCCGCCATTTTTGTGTCTGATTACTCACTCTCCAATTCTGTTCTCTCGTTTTTTTTTTCTTTTCCTTCAAATGGGGACTCACTCAGATATTTTACGATGAAGTGGATCAGAGAAAGGATTTCATCGATTATTCTCTGGTCAATGGATTTTGGACACGTGTATTTGTGGATAAAATTTTACAACATTATATATGTAAACAAAATCAGAGCTTTAGTATCAAGTGTCTATACTTGGGACTCTCTTATCTCATCCCACATAACAGGAGTTCTTCCATGTGGCCAATAAATTTCCGAATTACCAGTATATATAAAAAAAAACCCCAAAAAAAGGATAATTCATTTTTTATTAAATAAATGTGTAGATCTAAACATAATCTAAAGCCTGTTTAGTACTCCCATCTTTTAAAGTTTACTCACTATATATGGCAGCGTATGTATTAACTACTTGTATTAAGGTCTGAGGAACTATTGAGCTAGAAAGCATTCCACTTCACAATTTCAAAACCAACTGGTATACTCTGCGCTTTTTAATAAGCAGGAGAAAAACAAATTTACACATTCTTCATAAGCCTATTTAGTACGATTAAGGGTAATAACATTATAAAACGACATATTTGCAAGAGGTGCAAGCCTTCTTTTCTCCAGGGACAGTATCAATTGCAAATTTGCAAGTGCTTTATCCTGGGTATTGATAAGATCTAAATATATGGAAGCACTTGTTACATCTCATTCTTCATTACTGTCACTAAATCAAATCAGGGGCTGTTTGGTTCGCACGGGATAAACGGAATGGTATTCAAAGAGAATGGAATGGAAAACCATTCCATTAGCATGTTAATCACCACCACCAATGGTCCACCATAGCACCATCACCAAGGACACCAACACCACCACACAACCCCCCTTTTCCTTCATTTTCCCACTTCTTCAGCTACCTCACTGCCCAGCCACCACCTTGTCGGAATTCCCCGGAGCCCGTCGCACCTCCCCCACCCCTCCCAACACATCTAGGATGGAATAACATTAACCTCTGTATAATAAAATCCAAATCTTCTTCCCATTTTCCTTCAACCCAAAGTGAAATTTACAAATATTTAAAAATAAAATTAAAAAAAAAAAAAGTTTTACTTCGATAAAATACTTTACTGTACAAATAAATAACAATCAAAGAAAGACCCAGTAAAGAAGAAGAAAGAGAAGTCTGCCATCATCACTATCTTTGTCTCTGCATTTTCGTCAGTGATTCACTTTGCAATTCCGGGCTGTTGTTGCTGCTGTTCATAGCCCAGATTGATTGTGTTTAGATCTGCTTTGGTGGGTGTTTCAATGGGTGGTGGTTGTGTCGAATTTGGGTGAGGTGGTTCACACAGGTGGATTTAGGGTGGTTTCGGTGGGGTGGTTTTCAAGGAGGGTGGGTTTTTTCCGGTGGGTATAGGGCGATTTGAAAGGCTGGTTATGCCAGTGAAGTTGGGTCGGTTGATGGTGGTGCTTATCGGCGGTCGGCGAGTGGCGGCGATGGCCGGGGGAGGGGCGACAAAGTGGCTAGGTGGTGGCTTTGCGGTGGGGGTAGGGTAGAAGGGTGGTTCCTGTGGTGGCTGATGTTGGCATGGTGGTGGCTGATGTTGGCTAGGGAATGGGAATGGAAAAGTCTAGGAGGGGGAGGGTGGGGAATCAATATAGAGGGATTTTGGGTGAACTCAAAAATAAAAATGGGTCAAGGGAATGATTGAATGTGACAAACAAACAACAACAAAGGGAATTCATTCCCTTTCCCTTTGATTATTAACCCCAACCAAACAGCCCCTCAATTCGGGTTAACACCAACTAGGATGGAAAGAATGATCCAGGAGAGAACCCATCAGATCATATAACTTGACCTCTATAGTGATACAGAAAACAGTTCGGTTCAATCAATAACTGAGCACAGTAAAAGAAGACAATTTAAGTCTGCACCTGCAGTACCTGCAACTTCAGTGTAAGCAAGATCTTTTAGCTGAGTGAGCTGAGCAAATGATACTCCGTACAACATACAAGTGATACTGGAATGGACCAACAAGAAAAGACTGAATTAGTTTCACATAGAGCTTGGCTTCAACAGAATGAATAGCTATGCTCGGACAATTTCACCAGTCACTCTTCAGCATCATTCCATGCTGATGGCCCGCCCAGCCCAATTTCTGGCATCAAGATCTGAAGCACAGAAGCTTCAGCACCTTTATTCTTGGTTTTCTTTTTCTTTGCTGGATAAGTAACCAGAGCACTAATTGTGTCAAACTTCCCAACACCTTGGCTGCCTCTACTTTGCCCGGTATTAGGATTCATACTCTCCGTGGCATCATAAGCTACAAGTTCTGCAAATGGAGTTTCCTTATCATCAATAACATCCAAATGTTCTACCTTTCTTTTTGATCTTTTATCATTCATAGTTTTGTCAGCCTTTAGCACTTGATCTTCTTTCTCCGCATGATCCTTCTTACGAACAATATGTGCCACATCAGGCTCCCCTTCAGCAACTTCACTTGATTTAGCTTTTCTAGAAATTTTCTGATCTCTTTTCTTGCCAAATGAAAAATCTTTCTCGTGAAATACATTGGCATTGAGTTCTAAATTTAAGTTCCCACTAGACTTTTCTGCCATAAAGTAGCTATCATCTTCAAGTACTCCAGTCTTTGCAAGCTCATGGTGATTATTCACCCCTTTTTGGTTCACCTGTTTATCAGAATTGGCATCTACACTGTTGTTGGAATTAGTAATCCAATGATTAACATCATCCTTTTTCTTTGAAGGTTTAAGCTCATTTCCTACACTAATCATGGCACACTCAACTTTCTGATCATTCTTAGAGCTCAACATATCCATCTTTTTAGAGTTGAGTATCTCCAAATTGGGAACTAGCCTTTTAACCTGCAATCATTTTTTTCCCCAAAACAATCAATTTCTCAATATACATTGAGTAGAACTAGAACCAAAGAAGAAGCTTGCAACAATAGATAATATAAAAAGCATCAGAAGCACCAGTGATCATATAATCAATCCAAAACTAACAATGGCTCAAACGAAATCAATTGGTGAATATATACTTAGTAATTCAATAAACGTTTGATTGTATGAGCACTTTTGTATGTTATGTCCCTTAGCGTTTGATTGTATGAGCTCTCTTCTTCCTTCCTCTTCTAGCTGCTACTGTACTAAACTCATCCCTTCAATATTTTCTCAATTTTTTTTCTCAAATCTGAAGTAAAGCTCATAGAGGATATGAATTATTGAGGAAGGAAGAAGACAGCAACATCAACTTAAAGGCAATTTAGTGTTTGTATATTATGATTTATGATTCCCGTCAAAAAAAATATTATGATTTATGATTGAAACAGAACTTTGCTAGCTATAAAATCATCCCTTCTTTTGCTAGCTTTAAGATTACATTACTTTGCTGACTATTACTAGCCTTAATTTCAATTGAAACAAAGTTACAAAACAATTACTAATGTATTAATAATATGTTCTTGGTATATCAGTTCCTTAATTTTAATTGTAACAGAATTTAATTCTTAGTCTAATTTTTTTTTTTTTCTTCCTAATTTCTCAATTAATAATTGTATATTTAACACTACTAAATTAGTGATAATGCAATATATATGAACCATATTGATATTCTGTTCATTCTATTTTAAATGTATGCAAATTTGCCTAGTAATGCCGACAGAGACTCTACTCCTACATCTTCTATGGACCCTATTAGTAAGCCTATCGTTAAGGAATTTAATGTCAATATCAATGATGAAATGGAGGAGGACGCTGAAGAAGATGAGGAAAATGATGTTGAGGAAATTCCTGCACCATCAAACACTAATGAAACTATTCGGGATCTAGTTCCTCCTACTGGCCCTTTTAAGAGAGCAAGACAATATGAGGTTTGGAAAGAACTTACTAACCCTGTATTAATTAATCAACAATGGTTTGTAAAATGTAAGCATTGTCTTGAAAAACTTAAAGTTCTTAAGTCTGGTAGTACTACTCACTATAGTCGTCACTTAAAAAAATGTGCAACAAGGCAAAGTAATTTGCGGAAACAATCAAAACTGAATTTTTTACCATCTGATTCTAGAGCCGGAACACTAAATTCTACTTTTGTTGTGCTTTTCATGGTGGTAAATTTGACATGCTTAAGATGAGGGAGGGTATTGCACATTGGATTGTCATGCATGAAAAACCTTTACAGTTGTTGAAGAGGAAAATTTTAATTTGATGTTGAAGAGAGAAATTCCACAATGGAAAAGTGTCTCTCGTCATACTATTAGAAACGATGCTTTTAAAACTTATGAGGTGGAAAGAAGAAGCTAAAAGAGTTGTTGAAGAGTATTGATAGGATTTCTTTGACTACTGATTTGTGGCGTTCAAGGCCCCAAAAAATTGAGTACATGGTTATTACTGCTCACTTTGTTGATCGTCATTGGAAACTTCAAGAGCGAATAATAAGCTTTGTTCATATACCTCCTCCTTGAAAAGGTAGAGATATAGCAAATTGTATCTTCAAGTGTTTAAAGGAGTGGGAAATTGAAAATAAATTAAGTGTTTCTCTTTAATTTATGTAATAAATTTATTTTAGCTTTTTTTTATACATGATTCTAATTGTGATATTTGTATCTTTTCTTAGATTTTCACAATTTCCATGGACAATGCTACGGCTAATGATTCTTGCATAGAGATATTAAAAGATACGTTTTCATCGGTAAAAGGTTGATTTGTGGAGGAATGTTGTTTCATGTGCGTTGTTGTGCTCACATTTTGAACATTATGGTTTAACATGGATTAAAGAAAGTGAAACTATCTCCGTGGTAGTGACCAAAGGTTACAAAAGTTTACCGAACTTGTTCAACAATTCAATCTCCCACATAGAAGATTGGTTCTCGGATGTAAGACTAGATGGAACTCTAACTTATGAAATGCTTGCTTGTGCGATCAAGTTCAAAGAGGTATTTCCTAGACTTGCTTTAGAGGATAGAGAATATGTTTATCGTCCTAGTGTTGATGATTAGCTTAAAATTGAGAAATTGCTTTTGAACTTTTAAAAGTGTTTAATGATGCTACTAATAATATATCTAGTCAGAATATCCAACATCCAATTTGTTTCTTGGTGAGGAGGGACATTTATTAATTGAAGGAAATGAAAAGTTTGATCTAGTGGAATGGTGGAAAGAAAAATCAATGAAGTATCGTGTGCTTTCTAGATTGGTCGTTGATATCTTAGCGGTTCCATAGCAACTATAGCATCGGAAGCTACAGTATATACATATATGTATATGTATATGTATATGTATATGTATATGTATATGTATATGTATATGTATATGTATATATATAGTATAATGTAACATTTTTTTATATATAATTTATAATTTGTATCTACTACAAGTCTACAAGTATTATTTAACTTAATACTATTATTTTGATTGTAGAATAACTTTGGAAAAAAAGAACCAAAAGAAATCATTCTTCCAATTTCCTAATGTTGAGGTACTGCACTTAATTTATAAGTTTTACATCTTATATATAAGTTTATTATTTATTAATTTGGATTCAAAATATATTATTTTTTGTAGGATTGCAACGAGCGTGGATGTTCATAAACAGAAAGTTAGCCGAAAGGTTGTTTGAGATAAATTAGCTTAAAGCTTTGTACAATCGTTAATGGCTTTAGGCCATCACTCTCAATTGTTAAGCTGTCAGACTGTGCAGCCCCTCACATACTCAAGACACATCGCAGCGCATCCCATACCAACCACTCTCCTCAGATAAGTTTTATCTGTCATTCACGCCCCCCCCCCCCCGAGTCATGATATTCCTGGAAGTCTGGAACAACATCGGCTTCACGCTTGAGTTCTGGGCTACTACCCTTTAGTTTTTGTCTGTCACGGCCCCCCCGTGAGTCATGATATGCCTGGAAGTCTGGAACAACATCGGCTTCACGCTTGAGTTCTGGGCTACTACCCTCCTCCCTTTGTACAGCAGGGGGTCATTTTCCACCGCATAGCCCGAAATAATTTCCCCTCTATCCACTGCGATTTTCAATCGCTGAATTTCGGTGTCCCCCTTAACCTCCTCCTCCAAGATATCCCAATCCACCCCTTGTGTGGTGATTAGATTCCCACATTCCGGGCTGCCATCATCCTCACCCCGCCGCGAAAGGGCGTCAGCCACCCGATTGGCTATACCCGGTTTTTATTGCAGTTTGAAATCAAACCCAATTAATTTCCTCACCCATTAGATATTCCATCCCCACTTCCCTTTGTTGAGCAATGTACTTCAAGCTTTGTTGATCGTTACGCACAACGAACTTTCTACCAAGTAGGTAGTGCTTCCACTTTTAAACCGCCAAACACACCGCCATAAGTTCTTTCTCATAGATGGATTTGCTACGACCCCCTGGGCCAAGAACCTTGCTATAAAAGTCTACGAACCTTCCCTCCTGCATCAATACCGCTCCCAATCCATAGCCTGAAACGTCCCATTCCACCACAAACAGCTTCTCGAAGTTCGGCATAATAAGCACAGGGGAGGTGACCATAGCTTCTTTCAATTTGATGAATGCCTTCTCAGCTTGTTTTGACGAACCAAAGCTGTCTTTTTTAAGTTGATCGGTTAAAGGCAGGGCTATGAGGCCATATTGCCGAAGGAACTTTTGGTAATATCTAGTTAGGCCCAAAAACCCTCTTAGTTCTCTTATAGACTTGGGAGTGGGCCAACTCACCATAGAACTCACCTTTTCTTAGTCCACTGCTACCCCTTCTTTGGAGATGACGTGGCCCACGTATGCCACCACTTCTTTTCCAAATTCACACTTTTTCAAATTTGCAAATAAAGTGTGATCCTTAAGTAAAGCTAGCACCTCACGAAGATGATCAACATGCGCCTCCTTGCTCTTGCTATACACCAAGATGTCATCATAAAATACAAGAACAAACTGTAAAAAAGGACGGAACACTTCATTCATGGGCGATTGAAAGGTGGTCGGGGCATTAGTCGACCCGAAAGGCATTACTAGGAACTCGTAATGGCCCTCGTGAGTCCTAAACGCCGTCTTGTGGGTGTCCTCCATATTTGTTGGTATCCAACCTTAAGGTCGAGTTTAGAGAACACATGTGCTTTTGAAATTGGGGATAGCGGTATGGGCGCACGCTAACCGGATTGCTCGTTTCTTTTAACACTATTGCATGTTTGTGGCCCCTCGAAGGTGGCAGCCCTTTCGGATCTTCGAACACCCCTTCAAACTCCTTCAAGACTGGCTGTAAAAACTCGAGGGTCCCCTCTCCTTGTTTCTTTTAACACTATTGCATGTTCGTGGCCTCTCGAAGGTGGCAGCCTTTTTGAACACCCTTTCAAACTCCTTAAAAACTCGGGGGTCCCCTCTCCTTGTTTCTCAACTTCTCCTTCCAGCTTGTTTAATTCCACAAGCAATCCTCTCTTTTCTTTTCTCGAGTGTACGAATCATAGATTTCAATGCTAGTGGGTGTAAGACTCGGGTCACCACAAATTTTCACTGTTTTACCCCTTATCTCGAAGCTCATCTCCTGCAATTTCCAGTTGGTCTTGCCCCTAATTTTTCTAGCCATTGAACTCCTAATATCACATCAAAATTACCAAGTTGCAAAGGCAAAAAATCTTCTACCACTTCTACTTCGTCACTCAACTTCAAACCAACTTGCGTGCACTGCCCTTGCCCCCTTATGGCCTCGCCGTTTCCTAAAGACACCCTAAAAGAGCTATTTCCAGTCACGGTTAAACCGAGTTTCTCTACGGCTTGGATGGATATAAAATTATAGGTGGCCCTGGGATCAATCATCACCACCACCGCGTTCCCCTTAATGATTCCGGTGAGCTTCATTGTCTTGGGGTTGGTGATTTCG